CCGGGCCGTCGCTGCGCAGGCGGCGGCGGGGTGGCGCATCTTGCTCTTCTGTCGTCGCCCGGGAACGGCTGCGAGGGAGACCCCTGACGACAAGCTTCTAAATTGGACAAATATATCCAGTGGAAGGATTGTCATTTTGCATTATACCACAGGGCGTCTCGCGCGGACTACGTGGTCAAGGGCATGTGCGTAGCAAAAGTGGTCGGTCAATGCACAGAGCGTAGCGTCCGAGTAGCCACTCCAGCCATACTCGAATCGGAGCTCGCTGTCGCGCATCACTTGCGTCTCGTAGCGCAGGATTCCTGCGTAGGACGATGACGGATCTGCGTCGATGAGCCACATGCGCACGGGCTTGAGCGCATGACCATCGACGTGCAGCGTCGCGTGGCGCGGGTGTTGCAGGTCGCCTTCCGTTTGATCGCCGGTCACGTGAAAATGTACTTCGACAGCGTCGTGGCGCAGCGTGAGGCCAAGAACGTTGCACTGGTAGCTGTCGTTGTAGACGCTCCAGATGCGGTCGCCATAGTGCACGTAGCGGGCAACATACGTGGCAGCAAAGGCTGCCAACACGTCGCTCGGAACGCCGTCATCACGCGGGTCCAGCGCAAAGTCGTACTCGGCGCGGAGCAAAAGAACGAGCGGGTGCGCTACGATGTCGCGGTACGGCGAAGCGAACGCGTCGTGGCGCGTGTCGGCCAGGCGGCCACCATACCGTGATAGGAAGCGCCGCCAGATCGCGTCGCTTGCGTCTGCCAAGGACGCGCGCATGTCCTTGCACACGAGGCCCATGCGCAACACTTCGCAAGGCGTGAGGTACCCGTCGACGGCCATCGGCGCCACGATCGCCGTCAGCGCGTCCGTTGCCGCCATGCTCACTGTCGCTGGATTGACTGAGAAATGGATGTGTCGGGTTGCGGAGACTTGTACGATATGCGGATCCGGATATCATGGGTCACCACCACTCTTGCCGGAATGTTGGTGATTGGCCATTTCATTTCCTGCAGTCAGTAAGTCAATTGCTTGGCGCGTTGCACCATGAACACCCTCACGTACCTCAAGCAGATTGAGGATGCGACCCACCCCGAGGCGACAATGACCGAAACCTTCGTGTCGGTGGCGTCCACGGGCGCCTTGTACCGCGTGTACGTCTTCTTGACGGCGGATGCGAGCAAGTTTAGCTACAGCTGCGCGGGCCTGTACCTCCAGAACCGGTTGCGCGCGCAGGACAAGTCGATCATTGTGTCGTTCAACATGCAGTGCGACCGCGAAGACAAGATTGGCAAGACATTGGTCGTCGCACTCAAGCAAGTGACGGACAAGTTCACGTTCAGCGCGCGGACGTTGGCGTCCGCTTGGACCGCAGTCCTCACGACGGACTATGATCCCACGAAACGTTCGACCGCAGACAAGACGTCTGATGTGTTGGACCCGAACCCCTAGCCGCAGCCGATCCCTTATGAACGAACATATAAAAGGAAAAAATCGAATGCAAGTTCGGTGCGATGTACAGGGAAAACAGCTTAGTTTGGATGAACTTGGCCACCACGATCGATGAGACTGCAAGCTGCTTGAAGTCATTCCTTGGTCACAGTGCAGACCAAGGCTATGTATGGTGCTCGGCTAGAGCGTTGATAATATCAACGCTCTAGCCGAGCACCATAGCGCATATCAACTTGATATGCGCTAGGTTGCCCTGCCACGAGGGTGTAACCGGAATGCCGGTTGTGCTTGCCGGTTACCGGATGTATATCCGGTTGCTCTGAGATGCCCATATCAAGGGTATAATATACCCTTGATATGGGTTTGTATGGGTGTGTCACGCCCATACAAACCTGCGGCGGATGATGCGGGAGGAGCCATCGTATCCGAACTGTCCGGATGATGATTTTTTGTTAAAATTTGATTAAAATGCGCTCCGCGGCCGCTGAGCGGCGCTTGGGTCTCTGTGCATGTAGCGCTCAAAGCA